GCTCCCTGGGCATTGCATGACACAGGTGCACTTACATACATACAGGCAATACACTCATACACATAAAATAAAAATAAATAAAATATAATAAAATACAGTCATTCTTCAGTAGCCATAGGGAACTGATTCTAGGACCCTCCTCAGATACCAAAATCCATGAATGCTATGGTCTGCTGTGCAACCCACATGCATTTCCCATACACTTTAAATCCTATCTAGATTACTTATTCTACTTATTACACTAATAAGTAAATAGTTGCTATAATGTATCATTTCAGGAATAATGAAAAAAAGTACAGATGCAGTTTTTTCCACACTTGGTTGACTCCACAGATATGAAGCTCATAGATGCTGGGTGATTATTTGTGGGGGGTTGTGATGTTAAAGAAGGGTGTGAGCTGAAAACTTGGATGCTAGAATTTTCTCCAAACTTCCTATGAGTTTGCCAAATAACCTAAAAGGCAAAGTTCTAGCTAACCCAAAGGAAATCTTTGAAAGCCCATAGCAGTTGCTGAAGCTCCACTACAAAGTTAGACCCCCGACAGACACGGACCAAGGCCGACACTGTCAACCACAGCAACGCTGCTCTTCTCCTGAGCTGTACTCAAGTAGACACATGCATTATAAAGAAAGGGTACTCATTCGTTTGAATGTTCTATAGAGGTGGTCCCTTTAGGGAGGGAAGACCGAGATAGCTCAAGATGAATCATATCATAATGAGGCTCTGGACCTGCAGTATGCCAGCCTTTCCACAGTCACTGAAATTCTAATCAGGAAAGGAACTCACAGAAGGCAATGAACCCAGGTCCTGTATATAACATGTGTTAGTAGGTCCCCGGTCCCTAGCCTTTTGATGATTCAAGAAAGACTTGAAAGAGCAGTCTCACTCCACCGAGAGGAAATGAATTTGGATGTTTCTGTCCAAACCCCAGCAACGGGCTTCAATACCCTTACTGCCGGGGCACAAGGGTTGGGCATCCTGTCTGTAAAACCATCTCATGGTGCTGTTATTTAGCAACTATCATACACTGGGATCCTGGGGCTTTTCCTGATATTTTCTGAGTTCTGTGGATGAAATTCTGTGCAGATTTCTCTGAATCGCAACTAGGCAAAAGAATGTCCTTTCCCAATTACCAAGCGTCTATTCCAGACCAAAGCACCCCAAAGGAGGAATGGAACTTAAGAGCAGTTCCTGGACAGTGAACCCCAGGCTCTACCAGTAAACTTAGCAGTTGATTCCCCTATGCTCAAATTACTCTCCCTACACACCTGTGACCCCCCCCCACCCCACTCCACTCTGAGCAGAAATAGTAAAAAGTGCTAGGTACATCCTTTGCAAATAAACACCATATAATGAAGACATGAAGAGTGAAGTGCTTTGTCCCCGGCAGAATGGGTGTTTTATGTCCCTCTCTGGACTATTGAGGAGACATGTTATGGTTATTCAAAGTCAACACCCAGTTTTACAAATATTAGCTCATGAGACAGGTGATTTCCTAAGGCCTCGAGAAATAACAGGTGAACTGCATGTTTTCTCAGAGGCGAGGAAGAGTTCTGTGGATGGATAGGTGTGAGAATGTAAAGACATAAATAGCAGAGAACATCGTGTATTCCCATAATAAACACCAAATTCAGAGCTGAGAGGAAAGTGGAAAGTCTAGAGCTGTGGGGGCGGGGGTGGAGGGCAGGTGGAAGCACCTCAGGACAAGGACTCACACATCGGCTTGAAGAAACCGGATTCAAAGGACCTTGTATCTCCCAGCATTCAGGGATACTGAAGGATAGACCCACAGGACCCCAGCTTCAACTGAGCATAAAATGAAAAGTGGGTTTATCAGGGAGCTGGCTGGAGCTGGGCTGCAAGAAATGGTTAGAAAGACCCTGGCAAGACCATTCCAAGGCCTTACTAAATGCCAAAATCAGAGCATACCCCGTCTATCTGGCCATAGTTTGCAAAAAACCTTCATGCAGTGGGCAGGGGGCTGAACGGGTGTCTTTTAGACGCTCATCATAAAAACTCTTGAGTTTTTAATGAGCCTGATGATATTCCTAATGCTGATGAAAAGAAATTTCTCCTGCTCTTGATGCTGTCAATTATCCTGTGACAATAAGACAAAGTAAAAACTCTGCCAGGTGTTTTTATTCCAGCACTCGGGAGGCAGAGGCAGGTGGATCTCTGTGAGATCAAGTCAGTCTGGTCTATATAGCGAGTTCCAGGGCAGCTCGGGCTATAGGGAGACCCTATCTCAAAAATACCAAAATAAAATTTAAAAATTCAGACATCTCAATAAACACAATCATCTTGAAGACCAACTTCTTGGAATTAGAGGCAGAGACCTCTTGATCCCAGACATAAAAGTGTCCTTACCCTCTGATGGCAGAAGCAAAAAGCCAGTCTTGCCACTCTGAGGGAAGTGACAAGAGGGTGGTGAGGTTGACTGCAGCAACTCTATCTCCCAGAGGAAGCCAGGCCAAAGCCATCAGTGCTGCAGACCACACAGCACCCAGTAGCAATATGTCAAGTGGCTGATGTTTTCATGGTGGACATCATCCATGTGTCTGTTGATTATGACATAACGTGCACGTTACAAACAAGTGCCAGAAAGCATCTTGTGACAGGGGTGCCTTTTTCCTAGTTGACACGGCTGTTCTAGGGGCTAACTACAGTCCTGTAGTATAGACAAAACACAGTGCAAGGCCCCCATCCCCCTATGTTTAGCCTTTCCCCGGGTTCCCTAAACTTATTTTTGCAAAGGGAGAAAAGCTACCAAAAGATTTTTTTCTTTCTAAAATGTGCATTGTGCAGCATTATCTGCAAATGAGCATCAATTATCTGAGTCTTTATGGCTTGGGGCTTCAGACTCCAGCAGTAATCCTGCCTTCAGCTTGAAAAGGACGAAAAAAATACCTGCAAATTTGTGTGTAATCCAACAAGCCATTATCAGTCCCAGCAGAGAGAGGCATTGGGTTCTCTTGGCATAACAAGGCAACATTCATCCCCAAGGAATAAGTAATAGGATCTGGCTCTCAGAATGAGCTGGCACCTGGCTCAGCTTTGGAAAACCAAAAAGCATGAGAGGAGAGAGACGCTAGATCCTGACAGCCATCCAGGAAAAGTTCTACAGCAGTGCAGAACGCCCCCCGCCCAAACACATTGCCATACCAAATGGCCCCTTGAGTCACAATGGCCACTTCTAGAAAACCAGGTCGTTTTTTCAGACCCAGTTTCTGGACTTGGGGCCCAGTGGGAGTAAGCAAACTAAACAGTTCAAAAGACCACATTAATGGACTCCCAGGAGATGAGTCATTGTGCATCCCAGCCAATGAGGGAGCCCCAGCTGTGGCAGACACAATCTGGATTGGCTGAGGACAGAGCACTGTCCTCTGGTAAACAACTTGAAACAGAGTTCAGAGTTTGAAGGAGCTCTGCCTCTGGGAGGTCAGGTGTGTTTGCAGCCTCAATCTGACACTAAGAACTAGGCACTCAATTTCTTAAGCTGCTCCCAAGACACTGGTTAGTAAAGATTTTAATGAACCCAGGAAACAAAGTTAGTAACAAGCACTTAGCTGGAGCCTTAAAAAGATGCCCCTCCCCAGATAAGCAAGGTGGGGCTCAGCTTCTCCCTCCTTCCCTCTCTACCTCCTCTTTGTCTCCCTGTCACAAAGCACCTCAGTCTGACCTCAGTATCTATTGTGTTCCCTGCAGAAGTCTGTCTGCACCTCCCACTAACAATGCATACATGGGATTATTTCTTTTTACTCTGGGGGTAAAGAGCATCTGTCAAGCACTTATTACTGATGGTCTGTGTTTACAAAGTACAAATAAAGTGAAATTAAAAGGAGCTCTGAAAGACCTGTTGCCCTCACCCCTGCCTCAAAGGGCAGGAGGTGGCCAACCAGCAATCAACAACTGAACTGGAGGCTTGGATTAGGAAAGGCATGATTTGCAAAGATAATAAGTGGCTGAATCAAAACTCAACCCTTAGCAGGATGGCCAGTCAGGGAGTGAGAGAACCATGTGGGGTTGTTAAGGGCAAGCTTCAGACATTTCAAGCCAGCCAAAGAGTAACACCCCACCCTGATCCACACAAAATGCCCTGTTAGGACAGCACTGGGCCACGTGCCAGGTGACTAGGACGTAGTACTACTGAATCACTGGAAACCCAAGAAAAAAAGGCTTTTGGAATGTGTTTGTTTATGAGTTGGAAGTTGTCTGTGTTTACAATTTAGGCAGCTACATTTAGCATCAACCCAGGATATTCCCCAGATTCTGAAATACTCCTTGGTTCAAAAGTTCATTAAATGAGAAAATAACAAAGAGTCATTGGCTAGGAGTGAGCAGCTGTTGATGAAGCTTTCTCATTATAAGGGGTGTGTATACACCCAGTCACTAAATACTTTTTAATTTTTTTTAAAATTTATTCTTATTTTATATGTATGAGTGTTTTGCCCACATGTATGTAAGTGCACCGTATGCATAAAATGCCTGTGAAGGCCAGAAGAGGTCACCAGATTCCCCTGGAATTAGAGTTATTGATGGCTGTTAGCTGTCATGTGGGTGCTGGACTTGAACCCAGGTCCTCTGTAAGAACAGCCAGTGCTCTTAACTGCTGAGCCATCTCTCCAGCCCCCCACTGAATACTTTTTGAGACCTATTATGTACTGTGTCTTGACCCAGTCCACAGAAATGCTTGATAAAGAATTTAAGAACTAAAAGTAACCTGAAGACGCTCTTGAAGCTCACTTCCCACAGAGAAATACAAAGGCTCAAAGATAGAATAATTTAAGCAGCCCTTTCTTTGCCCTTAGGCAACGTAAGATAGACACAACCAGAACACCCTTACCAGATGCCAAATACCAGTCTCTTAATCCTGAGCTTCCCAGTTTCCAGAACTGTGATAAACAAATTCCAACTGTCGGTGACCTGCAGGAGCTCAGGTCACTCTGCCTCTTAATTCCAGGAGTCACCCACCACCCAAACCACATCCAGGTATACCCACCTTCTGCATGTCCCCGGAGGAGCTGTTACAGGCATTGTTGGGAGAAGATACCCGTTTACACCGCTGCTCCCCACTGCTTAGGGCCCAGGAGTTGGCAAAGTCATAGGGGTCTGAGGTCAATGTCCCTGCAAAGAAAAGTTTCAGGAAAATAATGAGTGCCTCTATATGAGCACTTGGCCTGTTATTAACTGAATCAAACTTCTACTTAATTAGATCACTGGCATTTCATACATTTCTCGGTGTGACACCCAAATGCATGAGCAAGTTTTAGTGAGCTGACTGATGAATGGATGGATGGACAGATGGATGGATGGATGGATGGATGGATGGATGGATACAATGAAAGGGGTGACATAAAAGATGATGAGGATGATACCGTCCACTCTGATGTCTCTACACCTTTGAATGCCCTCCTCCCTCTGTATGGACCATTCTCCTTCTCCCCTGTTACAGTTTGAGTATAAAATGTCCCACATAGGCTCATGTGTTGAAGCCTTGGTCAAAAGCTGCTGGCACTAACTTTGGGAGGTTCTAGAAACTTTGGGAGGTGGGAATCTAGATGAAGGAAGTGGGTGACTTGGGGGCATATCCTTAGAGGTTCTATCTTGCTCCAACTCCTTCCCCGTCTCTGCTTCCTATCTATCTTGAAGTGATCAGCCTCTTCCACCACATGTTCCTGCCACCATGACAGTCTGCTTTGGCACAAGATCCTGAATTCCTGGAGCTCAGAGATATGAACTGAAGTCCCTGAAAATGAGCCAAATAAATTCTTCCTTCTTTAACTTATGTCATATATTTTGTCATAGAAATAAGAAAAGCAACTAACACATCCCTTGACTCTCTCTCTAGTCATTCCTTGAAACAATTCCTCTATTCAGCCTTTCCAGACCAACCTCCCTCTACCAGTACCCCAAGCATCTCTCCACCAAACCTCTTATCTCCTTTTGAGTTCTGTTTCAGCCTGACCATCTCTGTCCATTGGATTAGTATTCTTCTGTATGATCCTTAATTGAAAGGCTTTGTGTCTTATCTCTGCGTTCTGATACAATGGAATGTAGATGCTAGAGGATTTCTGTGAACTGAAGGTAAGGATGTGACATGGATCCTAAGACCTCATTGCTGCATCCTCCAGGTTTTCAAAACATCTGTGCATCAGTGCCTGTATTCATGTTGCCATGAGTCACCACAGTGGACTCAGGAGCTTACACAGTGTGGAGCAAAGAAATTGCCTAGTAACCCTGCTGGATCTTTATTGCAACCATTCATCATGTGGAATTCTCTGTTGGTATTGGGAATTCAAAGTTGAGCACAGTCATGTTTAAGGAACTGTAAAATGTAGGTTGGTGGGAGTCTTACTGGATTAAGGCTGGCAAGGTGATGTCATGATGAGGCTTGAAAGCCAGGGGAGAAATGTTAGTGAAAGTTTATGAGCCGAACAGTCAAAAAGTGTTAGCACACTTCATGGTGATAGCATCCCAGAATGTCTTACCTTCTTGGGTTTTAAAGTCATCTTCAGCAAAGATATTAAAATCACCACACAGCCCACAGGTCTTGTTGAAGTATCTGTCTGACAACAGGACTTGGAAGTTGCCATTGCCATCAATTCTGGCCACAAAGCCGTAGGTCTCACTGGCAAGCTTGTAGTACCCAGCCTCAACTTCTAGATAAAGCCCTTTGGAGGCATATGGCATGGAGATGCTGAAGGGCAAAGGACAAGCTCAGAATTGGGCTTCTTGCTCCTTTTCCAGATCTCTCCAGTCTTCCCACCCAGCCCCATGTTACCATGAGGCGAAGTGACTGAGGTTCTAGACCAGTGCTACAGAGACCTGGCTCTCAGCCTGCCCTGCCACTTCCTTCCTTTGGGCATATGTACCAGCTGTCTCTAGGCCCAAGTTTCTACATTTAAAATATGGTGGGTATGAAGAGTCTCTAAGGGGATCCCTAGGGTACTTTCCAACTGGATACCCTGAGCTTCTAACTTACCTTTGGTCCCCTTGCATAATGGTACCATTGGCAAACAAATGGATGTCAAAAAACTCCCCAAGATACACAGAGAGACTCACTCTCTTGCCATTTTGGAAGTCCCCTGAAAGAAAGAAAAAAAGCCAATACCCAAAACTGTTAATAAATTCATTAACAATATCACCTCTGTAATGTTATGTCCATGGAAAACTCACCACAAAAGACTTAACAAATGAGCAACAGAAATCTCCCTAAAATTCTCACTCACATGCTGGAGAGATGGCTCAGGCGTTAAGAGCACTGGCTGTTCTTGTAGACGGTCCAGGGTTCAATTCCCAGCACCCACATGGCAGCCAATGACCATCTGTAACTCCAGTTCCAGGGGATCCAATGCCCTAATCTGACCTCTGCCAGCACTGCATGACAGGGGTGCATCTACCTACATGCAGGCAATGCACTCATACACATAAAAATAATAAACAGTTTTTTAAAAAACACTCATTTTACATCTGAAAAACTGAGGAGCTTCTGGATGCATGGTTTCTGAAGTCACATCCTTCTGGAAGTTTGTAGTTTAGCTCTAAAGATAAGACTAACTCCCAACAATTGACCAAATAGCACAACAGGAATTAGAAGTCACGGAGGTTCTCTAGCATAGTGTTAATTGTCACAGCAGGACAATGCAAACCAGGAGTTTGAGCTGTTTGCCCCCACTGTTTACCGGACGTGATTTTCTGTAAGAAATTTAGAGTGTATACTGGAACTTCAGTAGGGACTCAGTAAATTATTGATATCACCATTAGTGGTATTTGAATGTCCAAATTCCTAATGAAATAGTCTCTGCTAATGGTCTGGCTGTGGAGGCAACATGGAGGCAGGGGTGATGGCAGCTGGCATGAGAGAGGGAAAACAGGCCAGATATTTTTCACAGTAGTATTCAGTCTTAGCAAACCAGAGCTAATCTCTGAGAACTGCAACTGGGTTGTTGGTATTCTAAGATAACAGCTCTTAGGATGTTATTAGATGAAGGAACGTGAAGGATCAATGGAGAATCGGAGTGAGGCTTGGAAACAGAAACTGATGGAGATAAGAAGAAAGAAGGGCAGCCAGTGAAGACAGAGGTCAAATGTGGGGCACAGTTTCTTAGGGGGCCAGAAAGATCAAGGCATAGAGAAGATTAGCCTTAGAAATTAGTAAATACATCTCCTAGGAGGGATAGGGACGTGTGGCCTCCATTTCTTCAGCAAAGAGGTAGCAAGGAAGCCTGTGGAGCCAGGCACTCAAAAGGAGAGGGAAGGTCTGTTTGCCTAAGCACTGTCACCATGGACCACTGATAACGGGAGCTAAGGACTGGGCCTCCTCAGTCCCTGAGGTGTTCCCAAGACCACATTCTACAAAGTGCCACATCACCACTGCCAGGAGAAAAGAGAGGTGCCAAACACATTAAAGGGATTTCATCCTGTATTTCAACAAAATTTCTAGAAGGCTTTTTGCCTGGACTGAGCCTGCACTAAGCTCAACAGAAATCAAAATGGAGTACTAAGCACTTGTGTTACCTCAGAGACTAGGATGCTTATCTGACCTTCTGGGAAAACAGGAAAGAGAGGGAAGAGAGAGAGAAAGGGGGGGAGATGGGGAGATGGAGAGGGAGAAGGAGAGAGAGAAAGAAGAGAGAGAGGAGAGAGAGAGGAGAGTAGGGAGAGAGACAGACAGAACAGGGGAGGGAGAGGGAGAATGAGAGAAAGAATGAATCCCTAGATAGCCAGTGCTGTTTTTATAGTCACAAGAAAATAACTTTGAAAACACTCATTACTCTGTTCTGTTTCTCGACCCTTCTCAATCTGGAAAGCCAGCTCCTGTGCTCAGCTCCTTGGCACACTCGTCCTATTTTACGGAATAATTCTAGAATAGAAAACAAGGCCACCTAAGATCTCTTAATTGTCCTAACTGTGCTCTTCACACCTTTCTAAGCAGGGGGTCCAGCCTGCTCTACACTTTTATTGAGAAGAGGTTTTTGTGGGGTGAGCAGGGAGCGAACCTTTAGAAGGTGAACACCCTTCCTGGCAGCAGGAACAGTCAGAACTGGACACCAAGTGACAAAGTGACAGGGTGAGTAGATTAAGCACGGTGGTAAAATATCCTATTACGTTAGCTTTTCACTATGCTCAGAAATTCCCATAATAAAATGATTTCTTTTTTAGAAAACAAACAAACTCTCTGGCAACAAGTTTCAGTTTGCAACCCTCCCAGGAGTCTTCCCTGTCCCTAGACATTTGCAATGGGCCCAAAACCAAAATCCATCTTGGGCTTCAACTGAGACTGACACTGCAAACACTATGAGTGGAGTCAGCAACAAAGCAGGGCAGGGATCTCTCCATCTCCTTCTCTCTGGATGCCCATGACCCTCATGACCTTGAACTTGTCTCCTCATCAGTATAATCCTCCCTCAGATCCCCAGCCTCACAGCACAAGTGGATAAGGACCTTATATCTCTGCTTTGCTGGAAACCACAACAGTATGTCCCTTCTGAGACAAAAACACTTTCTTCTTGGAAACAGGAAAGGATTCTCTATGGTGGGCCTTTCCTTCTTGCAGGCTCTCCCTCCCATGGAGACTGGTGGCTGGGAACAAGTGGAACTGTGACTTGGGAATGCACGAGAGGCAACCAGGCAGCTTGGAATGAGCCACAGTCACACAGCTCTGGGTCTACAGTTCTTCCTTGCTTTCAAAGATGTAAAATCACTGGAACAAGTGACTTTGCCACAGTAGGCAGGGCTGAACAGGTGCCACAAAAAACCCAGAGGTCACTGTCACTGTAAAGTTGAAAAGAGGCCTAGGAGACTGGGCCAGCCCAGAATGCAGCAGCAGAGGAAAATCAAACCAGAGGGACCCCAGAGCAAAGTTGGGGAGCATGAGAGCCCCTACCCTTCCAAAGAGAAAAACAAAGAATGAGGGACCACTTGGAGGAGGGGGAAGGGGAAGAGGAGGCAGAAGAGGTAGAAGAGGTAGAGGAGGAGGAGGAGGAGGAGGAGGAGGAGGAGGGAGTGAAGGAGGACCACCACTATCATTACCATCACCACCATCATCAGTGTTGGTACAACATGGGAGGAGGAGGAGGAGGCGGAGGAGGAGAGAAGAAAGGGAGGAAGGGGAGGAGGTAGAGGAGAAGGAAGAGGAAAAGGAGGAGTAGGGGAGGAGGAAGTGAAGGAAGAGGAGCTGGAAAAGGAGGAAGAGGAGAAAGAAGAGGAAGAGGAGGTGGAGGAGGAGGAAGAGGAAGAAGAAGAGGAGGAGGAGGAACAGGAGGAGGGGGAGGAGGAGGAAGTTAGCTTGATACATAGAGAAGGCCTGAAGGAAGTAAAACCAAATAAGTGATCAGGTAAAGTGAGGTGTGGTGCCTGTGATGCCAGCACTCAGGGAGGTTAAGACAGGAAGAACATGAGTTCAAGGCCAACCTGGCTACATAGTTAACCCTCTGAAATAGAGCAAACCAAAACAAAACAAAAAGTAGGTCAGTTGTTTCAGTTACTTTGCCTGTAAAGGTGACAGGAGAGGAGGCTTCCCTGCGGTGACCTTCTCAAGTAAACAATGAAGGACTGTGATTTTTGTAGAATAAAAGCTGCAAAATTTGGACCTCCCATCACAGAGTATTTGAAGGATTTGTTCTCAGGAGCCTCAGGAGGGAGGAGCATTAAGCAGTCCAGGGTGCAGCTAGCTGAGCAACTCCCAGGGTGAGCAGGGTGTGAGGATATGAATGGTTCTCAACCCCAGGAGGTTGGAGCTGGCTGCCCAGAATCTTTACCAAATGCTGGAACTCTGCATCCTGAAGTGGATGTTTTAGGTTACGGTAACCAGCCTCCACTTCCCACCCAGGGTCAAAGGGAAGTAACAATCTAGGGGTAGAGGGAGGGGTGGAGTTTGCATGGTGACCTTCAGTGAGGGCAGACTGTGTAGAGGCCATGGAGTTCCCGACCCTTCAGGGTGACCAGGACCACACCCACAGCAGAAGTGGCCCAGTAGTTTTAGAAGCATGACCTGACAATTTGAAAGATCTTGGAGGTATCAAGGGAGGTTTCCAGAAAGAAGCTGCATCTTCAAACTGAGCCTCCTGGAAGGCTGATTAACTGATCAGAACTTCAGTGATTGTGGAAAGTTTGGAATGTTGCAGGTCCAGAGCCAAATTATCTTTGGCCATCTTTAGTCCCCTTGGTAAACATTTGTTGTTCTCTGTACATGACCTTTGTGACCACTGGGTAAATCCTTTGGAATGTACGAACAGAGCATTAGTTTTCCTTTGGAATGTATTAACTTGGCAGACCACTAGCTACTACCAACCCTAAGCTAAGACTGTCATCAGAGCTGAGGCCTTTAACAGACATTTCTCTGGTTTCCTCTAACCTGCCTGTCTGATGTCTCTATCAAAGTATTTGAAAGTGTCTTGATTTATGGCTTTCTTTGTTCTGTTACTAGAAAAACTTCATGAAACTGCTATCACGTTAGAACATGGAATTTGGGGGAGCCTAAATCTATGCTCAGGTCACTCATATTTGGCTCTAGACTAAACTATCTCTTATTTCCTTGGAGGTGAGAGCTGTGTTTTTGCATCAACCGAGGCCATGTGAACAAGTAAGCCTTAAGCTTTCTTGCCCAGAAATCACAGCAGCCCCTATCCCATGGGGGAGCAGAAGGCGTTCTGGCCCCATCAGAAGCAGGCAGGCAGCTGGAACCAGGCTCAGTACTGGGGCATCCTCAGGCTTCGATGGGCCACTCTATAATGTGCATTTCTAACAAACATTTCTCTGTGTCACTGACTCTGATACAAATAATCCTTCCTCCAAACTCAGAGTAACAGGGTCAGCAGTCTTCTGGTTGCTTATGGCTCTCTCTGGGCTGGTTTGGGAGCTAGAGCCCACAGCCATGGCTTAGGAAGAGTAGGCTCTGCGAAGCAAGAGGAACCAAGACTCACAGATGTCTCTCTAGTCTCTGTACTGACTATGGAAGACATGGAGCCTTGGTGTAGGACCCCAATGAGGGGAGGGTCTCCCCTTGGCATTAGATGGGCTTTCGTGTACAGACATAAACACTTTCCCAGGGATGTGAACAAAGTTCACAGACACCCAAACAAGA